CAAATCATTCCTTTTGGAAAAAATAGAAAACTTTCATAAAAAAATCTGTTTCTAGCTCATCAGGATGGAATTTGTCACTAATCATTTTAAACTATGCCCTTTTATGCTTTGGCTGTGTCTTCTCACTTTCTGAGTAGTTCTTTGATGTAACAAAGACAGTTTCAGACAAGATTTCAGTGCGTCTGGAAAAAAAAAAGGGTTTGAGACTGGAGGCAAAATGCAGCATATTTAAAATTTATATACTCGATGATGCCTTTGTTCTGAACTTGAAGATCCTGCAGAACTTCTGAGCTTCCTTTTCTTCCTTTCTAAGCCCATTTGCTGTGGCGGGGCTGATTATCATGCGGTGGTGACTGTAACTGGTGGCTCTATCATTTAACTACATGCAGAGTCATGGCCGACCCTTCCTGATCAATTGCCAATCTATACCGGTTTGACTGATAAAAGAGCCAATTAGATTTAAGCAAATTAAGGGACATCACCAATGTCAACCACTTATGACACTGAATGCTGAATTCCATGCATACCAAACACTAATGCACCTAGCGTGATTAAACACTGAAATCCTTACCCCATTAGTAATTCCATATCTCGAAGGGGGACAGGCCACAGGAACGTTTCATATTTATGGATTAACATTTAAATTCCTTTTTAATTTTTTTAAAAAAATTCCCTTCCTGGAACTCTTGAACCTGTACATCATGCTACTCAAGAGCTAGAATTAAACACATTCTTCCTCTCCAAGAGTATCTTAGTGCTAAATATAAGCATTATATTATTATAGACAAGCTAAAACTATAGTAATTGTAGAAATGCAGAAACCTGAGTTCAGAAGGGTAGGTGAGGATGTGCTATATTATTGAAAATGAGAGATTTTGTCTGCAGTTCCCCACATCATACTTAAAATGGAATTTTAGAATAAAAAGTGTGTGCTGCGTGTGATTTTCTACTGTATGTGCACATACCGGGGAGCTGGTGGCATCCTCTGGCTTGCCTTAATTTCTATCATTAAATAACACGGATTTATCATATTTTTAATTGTACATTTTTGCCATTGGTAAAACAGACTCAGCTTCAAGCAAATGAAATGTTTTATATCTGTCCAACTAAAAGATCCCATACCTGGTAAAACTCCTTACAATGTGATCCTTTACTTCTTTGACACCACTGCATAAACTCAGAACTGTTCATCTATGTTCACTTGAGCAAAAGCAAGCAATATGTACATGGAGAAACCTAGATGTGGAGCTGGAACCTGAGAACAAATCTTACCTCCAGTACTGTTGCCCTCCTGGAAGTCAAGGCTGTAATTAAATCTATAGGGCCACAGCTTTCTTACACCGGGCCACGCGGTACAGAGAGTGTTCTATTTTTTGCAGCTGACTACAGCCTAATCTAGCTCAGCTAGACACGAAGCCTGTGCAGGACTCAGCAACGATAAGCTTACAATGTAGAACTGCAATTAAGCTATCTTGATGGGTTTATTTATTCCTTCTCTCACCAATTATTCATTATGCACCTACCATGTGTCAGATTTTGTCTAGGCACTAAAGATAAAAATGCGAATAAGAAATAGCCTCAGCAGGGCAGGATCTTATAGCCGGCAGTGGTGATGGTCAAATTAAACAGGTGATTTCCATACATTACGTTCCTACTGTGGGATACAGAAACATTGACTCTCAGCCTTGGTTGGAAAGAGATATTGTTCTGAGGACCCAAAAATTGAGTTGGATTTGACCAACCCAGAAGGGTACGAGGGGTTTGCCAGTCCACATCTGATAGCAAACACTGGATAAAGAAATAAGATAGCATTTTATTTTTGCCCAAACCTTCTAGTAGTATGTTTTTAATCAATAATGAGAGACGAACATAGCTAAAGATGTTCTCATTGCAAACCACGCATAATCTAGCATTGAAAGATTTTAGGAACTGAACTTCACCATAAAAAGCATCCAATATTAAAATCAAGAAAATGGCAATAATGATAACAATCTGAATATAATGGAAAAGTAAATAGCATATAGAAACTCCTCTGCCCATAAACTGGCTCGCTTCTGTAAATCGGTTCATTTGTTATTTATTTCAGTATGAAACACAGTTCACTGGACAGAGGCATGGAAGATTTCTTTAATAACTCTCAGTACTAATTTAATTCTACTTAAACACACATATTCCAGTGAGTACCACATGCTTTTCGGCATGATTTTTATGTGTAAATCAGGATAATATGTTTTCAGATCATTAGGTAAAAGGAGCATGAAGTAAAACCTATTTAATCAATGAGCTATCACCTTTAAACTGCCACAAGGTCATAAAAAAGATAATTTCGAAGCTATAAGTTTCCTAATTGTAATCAACAACAATGTAATGATGAAAGAAAGTATTTCCTGATGGCTCTTAGAAACTTGAGCAAGTCTCTATCTTTAAAGACATTTGCTTCCTCTTTTGGCGAAGGACCATTTCCCAGATTCTGGATGCCTGAGTTCAGAGGAGGAAGGCGCACACTGGCCCCGGAGAGTAGAGCCCTGCAGATAATGGTGATGACACAGGTCATGCACAAGGCGTGGAGACGCAGATCAGCCTCAGCTCACAGCTCCACTCTGTTCTCCTGCATCATCATAAAACGAGAGCTTATTTCTTCCTGATCCGACCCCTACCCTACTGGCATACTTACAGCATGTATTGAGGTAGCAAAGAGAGTTTGCTATTTTTAACTGAAAAAAATATATAAATGTGCTGACTCACACCATCATATATATTTGATATGTATATATAGATATAGATAGATACACACACATATACAATTAGGCCACATATTCTTAAATACACAAATAATGAAATAAAATGGATCTCTTCTATGAATACAAGCTGAATTGGTATGAATTATTATAAATTACCTAAATCAGTATAAATGCCACAGAATAAATATATAAATCATTAAATAGCCCACATATCCTATTAAGAAAGTTTTATTGCCATGTAACTTTAAACCTCCACCAAGTCACCGATTATTCTTCAATTTCTAAATGTGAATAAGCAATATTGAATATTAAGGATTAAGAGTCAGTATGGTTTCCTAGCATTTCCAGCAGGTAGATCAGAGAGAGCAATGAAGACATGGTTACCTAAGTTTCCTTTTTTAGTTTTGCTTTGCATTGTAATTTGGTCTCGAAAGAATAAGCATCTGTCTCAGTTCAATTCCCTTATTAATTATTGGCTCATGAAAACTAACACTAATCCACATGGATCAGCCCTAAGAAGTCTCCTTTACACAGCCTTTTCTCAAGCAGCACGGCTTCTGCCATTGAGTTTCCAGTGTTTGGGGGACATAATGTCACTGATTATTTTAATGCCACAAAAGGGAAGAAGTGGGAGGAGCTCTTAGGTCACAACAGGTAAGGCGTCCTTTCCTGGGCAAGGAGGTTGTACACACACTGCAAATTTTTCCTTCTTCTCTGCTGACGTGGGACTGGGTGCTGTCAATCCCTGGTGACCAGAGGGGGACTGCTCTGCAGATCTCCGAGGACAAGATCAGAACATTCTCTCTTGGCCTACAGCAAGCGGAGTCCCAGAGATCTGGCTACAGGGCAGATGCTGGGGGTGCGGGGTCCTAACCCCGGGGGTATTCTGGGAAGACACACATTCCTGGCCCCTGTGAATCCTGCTATTCCTATTTTGAGGCAGCTTCTGTGGTTCAAGGGTCACACATGAGGACCCCAGAGAAGTTTTCTTCCTAGCAGTTGCTTCCCACGATTAGGACAAGGGTGGAGTTGATAACAGGTAAAAGTAATGGTAAATGTGATAATCTTCAATAAGTGGGGTCAATTTTTCATAGAATGAAATAAAAAAGCATCCAGACTGTATGCCATCGCACATAGAAAAGCAGCACAAGCGGGCTGTAATCACCAGGAGTTTGTGGGTGCTTACAAGGAGGTATGAGCTGTTTTCCTATTGTTATAGGAAAATGAGATACAAATATTATAGGCCAGTCAGACAGGGCTGGGCCCTAGAAAGAGACAGTGCAGGAGGCCAGATACCTTGCAGCTGTGGGGGAGACGGACACCTCCTGTTGTGGGCCAGGCCCCAAGACAAAAGATCAAACCAATATACCCACATCCCAAAGACTGATATTCTAAATAGGTCTCTAACATCCAGAGGAAGTCAGGTATCACCATCCCAACCCCCTCTTTAAGCATGTCCACTTGCTGTGTAACTGGCTTCCCCAGCTGTCCCCAATTTAATCAATTAATTGGTAATTAATTTTATTGGTTGACCATAGCCCTGTCCCACCTCATGCCCACCTTGCGAGTTCCCATGATTCCCATACCTTAGCCTCACCTCATGGTTTGCTCTATAAAAGTCCCTAAAAAGACAAAGTCATTGGCAACCCATAAACCCCTTCTGTCTCTTTCTATGTAGATTTTTTTTTTCTCAATAATCATGTTCTGCTCTTAACCTCCACTATTCCTTAAAATTCAATCTTTGACTTTAGAGAACACGAACTCACACCAGACACCTAGTAGGTCGGGAGGTTCGTTCCCCTGTATCACTAGTGCATCCTATCCCTTATATTACCTGGAAAGACTTAAGCAGACATCTAAAAAAGCTCTTCAGAAAACAAGAAAGAAGAACCACTTACAGTAGAAAACCAGAGCCAAAATGCAAAGAATATAAGCTTTGAATGTAAGTGAAGTCTTCAAGACATAAAAACCTTTTCCAATCTTGGTAACATGCAGAATGCCAGAGATATGTATGTACGTGTGCACAGTACATGTGTACACACAGCACAAGACAAAAGCAATTGCAACAAGAAAATAAAAGAACGTCAATAAGAACATCTCAATGAGACCAAACCAGACCTCCCAGCAACTAGAAATACAACTGAGCCTTTGAGTTCTAAAATTAAAAATTAATTCCAACAATAGACAAGGTGTTCCATGGCGACTTAGTTCTAGGGTATTACTATAACAGGAAGGAGCCAGCATTTTTCACAGACTTACCCCCCGGAGGCATCACAATAGTTGCAGGGTCACTGATCAAGCTGCCCCGGCTGTTGGAAGCATTCACTTGTACAGTGTAGTTACTGAAAGGGACCAGTCCGACAATGGGCACCCAAAGGTTGGCCTCTCCACTGCTGTGCATGATTCTTGTGCCACTCAGGAGGGTGTAATTATTTCCTGCTGGTTAAACAGAAAATTATTAAAATTAGTATTCATTGAAGGGTTATTTCCTGCTATTACTTGACTATTTTCTTGGATTCCTGAATATACTATAAATATTAAGTAGAACCAAAATGGCTCTACCCTAAAACAAAAGGCACAAGCTTCGTCCACGTGCATAATATTTTTATTCTACCTTAGCTTTGTTAACAAAGTGTTACCTGAGTTACATCTCCAACACGTGCATCACAGTGGGCAAAATAATGATAGCATGAAGGCATGTCACAAGTGCCATCTAGGTTAGTAAAACCACGGCAGATACATAAATTATTAGATGCTTAAATTTTTTACAGAATTTTAGTTTATGAATTTCCTTTGGTGTGCAGACAAGAAAATAGCACATTTCCCTCCTGATGGGAGGTTTGAGGGTATAAATAGCATAATTAGGTACAGGTTTGATATGCTATATATCACCAACTGTGGTATTTTGGTTTCATTTTGCATGAGAGGCAGGGCAACTTCTTTCTACTAAATGCTCTTTTAAGTCAGATTTGGGCAGAATATTTTAAAACAACCGAGGATTGGAGGTAAGCGTGTTCTCTTTGATCCAAAGACCTGTTTCTGGGGTATATGAGAAAATGCAAAGGTGCTTGGCTTAAAGAATCTGCATTCATTCCCCTTTCTACTTTTTCACTGTCCTGGATAATTGACATGAGGCAACTTTTCAAAATATTGCTTCACTTTAGTCAAATATTAGACTGTGTTGTGATTATTCTGTAAAAACAGAAAAAAAAAAAAAACATCAAGAATTCAAAATCCACTTCAGTAGGCCTTCTTCCTTTACCCAGACACTTTTTATGGTAGGAACATTTCTTCTTTCCTACAAATTCTGCAGATACAGGGAAATGAATCAAAAAATACAATCTTCTGCACTTCAAAGGAAAAAACAAGCATATTTGTGAGATCTCCAAATACTGATATACTCTTTATTGACTAAATGATTAAAAGTAAAAGATAACCACATACTGAAAATGATCTTGCATTGTACAGTACAGAATTTTTTTTTTTTTTTTTGCACCAGGGATTGAACTTACAACCTTGTACTTGCCAGGCTGGTATTTATACCACTGAGCTATATCCCCTGCCCAGTAAAGAATTTTAATAGTTGCAATTAAAAAAAAAAACATTTTACATGGTTAAATTGCAAAGTACAGTCAACAGGAAGGAACATAAATTTGGTTGGTGGACAGTCCTGCATTGGAACCTATCTTTGTATTTCTCAGTAATGCATTTCTTACTAAGCTACTTAATATTTCAGAACCTCCAGTTCATCAGCTGTGAACTGGAAATAAAAATCCAAGTGCAGTGTTGCTGTGATTTAAGTGAGATCATTTCTTTACCTAGCGTAATTTCTTGAGCTCCTTAACATACTAAATAGAACTATAGCAGGTCACTGTAACAGCAATGCATATGCTCCACCAAAGTGCTATTCTTATTTTGTTACTTTGTCCACAAAATGTTATCTGGCTTGGCATCAACCACTCATTCATCACAATGATCAAAATAACTGGGCACTCTGCTGTCATTTTTGTTGAAATCCATATAAGGGATACACCCCAGAAAAACATTTACAATTAATCACTGCTTAGCAAGCATGTGCTCTGTCTCCTTCATTTTCTCCATAGCAATCACCAACCATCAAATTCTCTACCTCCCAAACTAATAATATATTACTAGTCAAAATGCTGTTTTTTTAATTAGCAAAACAACAGTAATGTCATCTACTACCATCCTGCCATTGTCCTATCAGGTTATATTTCAAATTCTGAAATCAGTGAAGTTCAAATAATGTAAATGTGTCTGCTAACCAGTTATGGCATGACCATTTTCAGGAAGTATAAGTAAAGCAGATAGAAATTTAAAACTATACAAAATTTCTAATAAAGTACTTATAATTTTGGGATAGAGGAAGTAGTTAAAATTTATTGCTGCAAATAGGAATGTATTTTTCCATGACCAGGAAAAAAGTCCTATATTATTATTTTAGACTTGAAATTGACAAATTCAGTAGCTTGGCAACTTCAGGGTCCTAAACTGAAATTTCTAATGTACTCTTACATATGCAAATTAATCCTGGCAAGAAGTTCTGAAACCTGAGAGAGAGAGTTTTACAGCATCTATACAGCCGGTGAACTTCATTCAATATTTTCAAACTCCACCAATATGAAAGAAGAACTTCGCTTATGTATTGAGATTTTCAATGTGTGTTTAACAATTCTTCTGTGCTCAAGAAATCTAGTTAAAATTATTTCTCAAAAAACAAAATAGAATTATCATTAAACCTAGCTATTTCCCTAGGTATCTTCTCAAAAGAGGCAAAGGCATCCTGTGAAGTAGTCCATGAATACCAATGTGTATAGCAGCACAACTAAATGGAAAACAGATCTAGAGGAGACCTAGAGAGAGGGAAGGGGAACAGAGAAACCAGAATGTGCTATGTGCCTGAACCCCACAGCGAATGTAATCCAAATGCAGTACAACTGTACTAATAAAATGCGAAAAATAGCTAACTGTGAATCTCTTCCAGTCATTATCTGAGAACAATCACACGCTCAGCCTCAGAGTATCTTCTGCAGTTCTGATACCTCCATCCTTGGAAGCTTTTTCAGCTACAGCTGAAGCAACTGCAGGTGTTGCCATGAGCTTGGTTGTAAAATTTCACAAAGGTCAGCTTCCTAGCAGACAGCCAGCGGGTGCTCCATTGCCCAAGCTGGGAACTACTGAGCACATCTTAGAAAGACTGAAATCACAAATCAATAACAAAAGTTCTACAGGGAAACCATAGGAGCTTCAGTTTACACATTTCTAGCTGGCTGTCAATACAAAACCAATGAGTAAACATAGATTTCTATAACATCAGAGGATGTTTTTTACCCTGCATTTTGTTTATTTATTTTTGAAGCAAAAATTAAGCTGCAAAACAAACATAACGGGCTGCTTTTGAAATGGCATAATAGGGGCGGGGCGGGGTGGGGCAGGGGAAGAAATATATTAAGTACCACTTTCTTTAAGTTTCCCAGATAACAAAATTAATACATGTGATTATACAATTAGTTGTAACATTAAGTTCTAGTTACAGAACAATGATTACTCAGTAATTATAAGAAGTATATAATTACTCAATAATTATGAGAAGTATGCAATTACATAACCATTTTGCTCAGCTCAGAAAAGAACGTGTACCAGCATGAGCCATGCAGCTGAGTGAGGCGGGATTCTCACCTCTGTTGAGGTGCAGGTTCCTTCACAGACTGAGAGCAAAGTGACCGGGGCAGCTCTCAGAGGGGCTCCAAAGCCCCCGGACACGAAAGCAAGGAGGGAGCCACGGATTGTGTCTCTCCCTCCATCTCTCCCCCGCCCTTTCTCCCTATGTCCTTCACCAATACAGACTCCATGGCCCTGGACACAGATTCCTAACATGCAAATCCTCTGGGCACCCCCCTTCCACGGGCTATGCTTTACTACTTTTCACTGCCTAAACTGTGTTTCCAGTGGGCTGGAAAATGCCCAGCCTCACACATCAAGCTAAAAAATGTGGGGTTGATAAGCATTTCCTATCACAGGTGACCATTCCTCTCTGGTCAGTCTCAGCTCTCTCCCTATCTGTGAGTATAAGTGGATATACACGTTCTCTTCACCTTCTGGGTCCTGGAACCACGGATCCTCTGAGCCCAGCATTCCCTGGGTGCTGAGATGTTTAGTTACCTCCCTGCAACCACACCCTGGCTTAGTCTGAGCCATCAGGAACCAGCCAGGATTGTGCAAATCCCTTCATGGAAGTGGGTTGTCTACAGGAATATTCCTGGTTTTGTGCAGAGCTGTAACCTGGGGCAGCCTCCCTGAGCACCCCCACGCTTCAGTAGACCACAGACTTCTAGAATGATGCTATTGGAAGGCAGCCCGGAAGTCACTATGTGAGCTTCCTTTTCACCATGGAAGTTGAGAACAACTGATGCAGGAAACTTATAGTTTGCCTGGTCTTAATGAACAAAGTTCACTGTTTTTGTTCTGCTTTTAAAAGTAACAAGATCATGTGTGGCACCCTTATGGGTGACATCTGTAGAGACTAGAAATGGGTTATAAAATATTTGCTCTCTTAGCGAGATAATGCATGCAAAGAGTAAAAACGAGCATTTAATTCAGATCTCTCTCTACAAACTACAGAATCTAACAGAGCTGTTTAAAATTTTCGTAAGAAATTTTAAAATATTCATAAAATGATTTTTAAAAAGACAAATCCTTGTGACAGATCTGAGAACAGTAGCTTCAGGATTTCAGAGTCAGGAGTCTTGATTCTCTCTCCTCACCGCCAGCCTGGGTGAGGGTGTGGGGAGAGGAAAGGTACTTTGTGTGTTGGCCGAGCTCACCCATTTGAAGGAGGAAACAAATTTTTTATGACTCATGTACACATTTAAAACGAAATTCTTGAGCTGGGGATACAGCTCATGGCTTAGCACCTGCCTGGCAAGTGTGAGGTCATGAGTTCGATTCCCAGTACCATTAAATAAATAAAAAGAAACTCTTCACTGCTATTTCAGGACATCCCACACTCCACATGGTCTTTGAAAACATTAAATCCTTCAGTCCTGCCTTCCCACTTTAGTTTGAAGAAAAATATGACAGGTAGAGAAACAGCCAAACTAAATTTCGTATGGCCAACAGATTTGACTTGTAGAGAAGCCGGGGGCTTCATACATCAAGCATTGTTAAAATGTTAGTAACATTGATGCCCTTTCTCTGCAGTAAAAACCTGATTTCTCATATCCTTATTTACTGAGTCAGTATGAACCATGCAATTACTTTTTTAGAGTAAAAACCCATGTAAGTGTGTACTTTCTCTAGTGTGATATGGGAATGCACAGATAATTACCATCCTGGGAACACCATCCTACAGGGACTCTCCAGATTGAAATAACATAAATGGGTATCCTTTCCTATTCTTGTTATAATCATTGTCACAA